TTAAATTATTGTTTCAGCTGGTAAGTATAAAATTATTTCAGAGTGGAATATCTATAAGTGAATAAAATTTCTCTAATTAAATATACTGTATATGAATTAAATTATTGTTTTAGGTGGTAAGTATCTTAGTCGTGTAATTAATTCAATGGAAGCAATTTATTATAGTCATCAAGATCGTGGTCTATGGTTTTATCATTTTGGTATAAATGATACTATTTCTGGCCCTAATAAATGGGAATATAATCAAGTTAATAATTATCAAATGCCAATCAGAAACTCAGAAGACAAATTTTCAGTCGATGATTATGAAGTGTTTCAAATCCCTTGGAAATCATCTATTGCACTATCTTCTTCTATTATTACTTTGGAGCATGCAGCAGAGATTTCTTCTTAGATTGATCAACGTTTAACAATTTATAATATTATAGAAATTCCATATGAATTCAAATTGTTGTTTAGAGGTAGCAGAGATGAGTTCGATAGTAAAATGTTTCATCAATTTTGTGATAATATACCTAGTACAATATATTTTTTATATACCGATCATGCCAAAAAATTTACCAGCTGAAAAATTTTTTAGCAAGTATTTTTATAATAGCTGTAACATTTTTTTAACTGTTTTAAAAATTTAATGTTTTTGCTTTTTTTTCTTTGTTGTTTTTTTTTTATTGTTTTTTTTTATTAATTGTTTTTTTTTAATTAATTGTATCTTATTATTTTTTCTAATTTATTATTAAATTATAATTGCAACTTAACAAAATTCAAACTCCGATTTGATGGAGTTTGAATTTTATCCAATTTTGTAAAAACACGAAAGACAAAGTCATGTGATCGCAACACTTCGGCGGACTTTAAAAATCTCTGATTAACGGAGTTACTTATGATGCACTAACCTCTGTCACTAATTGAAAAAAGTAACATGCCCCATGAAATACCCTGCTAACGCAGGGGTATTTCATGGGCATGTTACTTTTTTCAATTAGTGACAGAGATTAGAGTATTATAAGTAGGAAGATTAATGCAAATAAAATAATTAATAGGATATTATGTAATAGTAAATAAGAATTTGAATTGCTTTTCTAATTCTAGCTATGAATCAATAATCTTTATACTTACACTTGAATAAAACAATTATTGTGAATAAAATGATTAGAATTGTATCACATAATGATAGATAAGTATTTATTTCATAATCTATGAACATTTTTTTTTAATTCTAATAATTGATAAATAATTTTGTACTTATGTTCTGAATAAATCGATAAATGTGAATAAAATGATTAGTAGAGTATTACATAATAGTAAATAAGTATTTATTCATAATTTGTGAACTTGGTTTCTTTTTTAATTCTAATGTTAATGGATTGGATTTACCCATATTAGATTTAGTATATTGTACTAGATTATGTATGTAATCAAATTAGATTATCTGCTAATTTTTAAAATTAATTACTATATTTAATATTTTTGTAGTATAATCCAACTCTTGAATATCATAACAAAAAAAATAATAGCTTTAAATTCTTTTTTAAATTTTAAAAAAATATTTTTTGCTACAACTATTAGTTTAATCTAATTTTATATAGCAGTTTTTAGCTACTTTATAGGATATTTATAAAATTTTTGATAAAAGTTATAAAGATACAATAGCTAATTTAAAATCTAGTTTTTCTTTAAAATTTAACTAGTATATAAAAAATAATTTAAATTTAAATTTTTAGCTAGTCAATACTATATAAAAAATTAAACTTAAAGAAAAAATGCATTTTTTTAAAAATTTAAAGTAATATAATTTAAAAACAAACTTAATTTAATGCTAAAAAATATTTTTAATTAAAATTAAAAATAAATTTCTATAATTTAAATTAAAAATAATCAACTTAAACTTAATGCCAACTATATTGATCTTATTCATTCCACTACTTTTAAAAACCCACTTGAGATTCTATCTTTACCTTCTATTAATATTGTAGACTTTCTTACTTCATCCCTTTTTTATAACAATATTGCTTCCAATAATCTATTTCAAATTGCTTTAGCTAACTAACTTTATCAAGAGTTTACTTTCTATACAGATAGCTCTATCAAAAACCTTGGTACTGAGGAATGTACTATGGGTATTAGATGGGCCCAAGTTCTTAATAACTCTGTTATTTACAATTTCTTTGCTCAAATCTCCAACTAGCCCTTATTATATAAAGCTGAGCTTCTTGCTATCCTCTTTGCTATTTCTACTCTTCCACACAATTCTTCTGTTAACATTTATACAG